TTTGAATAATAAAAACCGCCAGCCCACGTATTGTCCGGACATTAATTAGAAAGGATGGACTGCGAGAATGAAATGAGAATCTCGCGAAGAAACGAGAAACAGAATCGCAGGGACGGACCTCTCCGAAGAACTTCTTGTCATTCGACGAGATGAGAAATAACATTTTTAAATTCGCGAAATATAGAAAAATATTAGAAATATAGTCTTTATAAACTTTTCTTGAGCAACTTAAAAAGAGACAAGGAGAGTACAAACTTGAAGTAATGTTTAAAAATGAACCAAGTCGCATAGTCGCTGCTTATATCAGAGTTCCGACCCTGAAGGGAGCACAGAATGGACTCATCAAAGAGTTGCAACATGAAATAAAGCTTTCAGTTCGTTGATCTGGGAAGATGAAAATTATTGATTCTTTCTCATGTACGTTCTTCTTTGTTACGCGACACAAAATCTTACGGACAAAAGTTCGTTCGTTGATTAAAATCCTAAATTAAATCTACATTTATTCAAAATTAATTGTGAAATTAAGTGGCTTTATAAATACAAAATTTCGAGAATCGATATACACTTTTCTCGATTTCATAATAATTATTAAACAATAAATAAATGTTGATTGGTGCTATTAAATATGATTTCTTCTTCTCTGCATACATCACTTTTATATTTGCATAATCTCTGGTCGTAAAAACAATCGTGCGAAACTCTGTGATTATACGATCAAATAACGATTTTTTCGAAGAAAAGAATACTTCTTTATTGCAAAATCATGATTTATTCAGAGAAGAAGCCCCGAATCGACCTGGTATTCCAATTATAAGGGCCTCCCACTCTCTTATTGATTATCACCAAGTCGATCGAGTCTCGACCGAATAGATAAGAGATAAAGCCGACCCAATTCGCTGGCAAATATATGTCGCAATGTCGGTCATCGTACTTGAAATCGAAAGAGCTCCCGTTCTCGGATTGACTTGTCACATTATAATTCGAAACAAACTCTCAAATATCCGTAAAAATGTTCCTCTACCGGTTGAAAAGAAATCTCATTTCCTTCTTGTCTGACAAAAAAATAAGATTTCGCTTCTTTCTTTCTAAGAAGATTGTTTCATTCTCTTTTCTTTCGCCTAAGATAAAATAAGATTTCGCGTTTAATATTTCAAAGCTGAACTTTGATCAGATGTTACAATATACCTATCTCATAGTACATCTCTTTCAGCATTAAAAAAATTACAAAACACCCCAACGATTCTTTGCGAGAAGAGAATCCACAACATAAGAGAGAAGTGACTGAAGATTCGTTCGGTGAGACACTTCGCAGTAAAATAGAAATACAATCCTATATCCTTTCTCGGTCCAGAAATACTTATCGCGGAACAACAGGAAAAGCAGAAGCGACATACGCGCAAAGAATATCACGTGAGTGAGAAAATGTGGGAAATTCCTTTTTTCCTCGACAATATCTATTGAGTGGCCCAATAAGGAAATGAGGTATTGCAGAAAATTGAAAAAGAATTGAGTTGAATTATTCTTCTGATAGTTTTGTATCAACCGGAAAAAGAAATGCGATACGTTGCGATGACAAAAATACTTTAGTACTAGCTTTTTCATGAAAGTCAATTTTTCACACACGAAAACAACTTTCCGCAGAATAACTCGCCTTCTTATTCGGCCACTCGATTGTGTTTCACGGCCTGTCGCATCCCGGAAAACTCCTTCGGCCTTCATTGACTACTGTCGACGGAATATCGCACCCCCGTGGGACGGGGGTATTTTCATCTGGAATCTCGTTTCATAAAACTGCAAGTCTTGTAATGCGAGATGACGTGGCGCCTCGAGATATGTGAGGTGAGTGAGGATTATTCTCAATCGATTTTTTTTAAAAAAATAACGAGACTAAAAGATGACGTTGAATCTTTTCAATCTTCAATAAAAGTCAAAAAAATTAATTTGAAGCTTAAATTAACTTCAAAATTGCGACAAAATAATTAATACAGAATAAAAGTCATAAAAAGTCATAAAAATCAGGATTTAAATTAAATTTAAAAAACTTGAGAAATGTAATTTCTGTATTAATTCGAGAAACTAATTAGAAATATAATTTCTAGATTAATTAATTAGATTTGACAGCTTTTCAAACAAATTTTAATCTCGGTTATAAAATTACGTTGAAATTCGTTTACGTTAAAATTGTTTAAAATTCGTTACCTAAATTATAAATAATGATATAAAGCAGGAATTTGTAGTATTTTAAAATTATTATCAATTATTACCAGCTTTATAATTTTAGAAAAAAAATTCCTGTGTGTGTGTGTGCGCGCGAGAATATAAATTTAATTTCAAAAATTATATTAAATTCAAATTAAATAAAAATTTACAAGACAAAATATATTTTAATCAAATTTTGCAAAATTTTTCATGTATTTTATCTTGTCTCCAATTCTCTTTTCCATAAAACTATAATATTTTTATAATGCTGATAATAGAGTAAGGCGAAATATGTGTATATATTACATTTCATTTAGAAACATCAGATTTCTTATTCATAGTAAGAAACAAAGAGATTATAAACGTTTCAAGTTCACCAAAGAATAGCTACAGTCTCGCATCCGAGTTCGTGTCCCTTTACGAGAACCCGACCTTTCTGAAATTACAATTTGAATGCGAAGAAATGGAGCGCGGTGTAGTTTGCAGTATTGCATATAACTTATTCAATAGGTCGGCCTCTATTCATCGGTACTAGCGACAGAAAGGGTAATGGGGAAAATCTTGAAAAAGAAGGAAAAATGGAAAACGCGTAAAAGAACGACAGAAAAGGAAAAAGAAAGAGAAAGAAAAACGCATCGCGTCATTCAAAATTAATATGGAAAGCTGCATGCGAATAACGCAAACAGAGTTGAACGAGCATGATCTATATACATGGTGTCCCAGATTCCTGTATACCTCGCGATCCTTCATCCATGGATTCTCTCACTCATTTCCTGACTCGACGGAAATACGAGAGACATCTTTTATATCTATCCTTTGACCCGCGAAATCTGGAAGACTACAAATTTGCAAATACAGACAATCTCCATTCTTCTTCGTTCGGACCGGCACAAAACTCGTTTATAGAAATATCTAAATCCTAATTTGACTCTTAAAACAAATTTTTGATTCTCCCAAAACTCTATTCAGAGAGACTTTGACATTTCGAAGAGTAAATATTTTCTCGCGGAAGAAAAACAAAGCAGAGCTAAAGTGATGAAGCAAAATTCGTTTCGAGTCGCAGAATAAACGAGTTTAAACAGTTGCGAGTGGGTTGTGGTTGGAAATGGCTATGCAAAAGGCAAATTTACGCTCGTGTCGCGATAGCCTCGTATTTGTTGTCTCATGTTAACAATTGCAAATCAGCCGCCAACCGCCGACAACTGTTTAAACTTGTTCGTTTACCCATGCCAGTTTCGTTCATTGTCAAGCTTTACGCAACCTTGGATAAGTTCAAAGAAGTATTCTTGAAAATTAATTGACAACTGATATCCGAGGGAAGCATATATACGTTGTTCCAGAAGTGGATATTTTTTCGCAAAATATTTTTAGACCAATTGTTTTTCGACAAAATTAAAGTATTTTGTATCTTTCCCAAATATAATTAAACGTTATACTAAAATTAAAATCAAAAAATCATAAAATAAATAAATATATATTTAAAAAATATATGCAAATAAAATAAATTAAGTTAAAAATATAAGATGCTTCTAACAAAAATAAAATAACAAAATTATTCAAAATTTCACGTAAAAATTGTCTTTCTCTCTTTTACAGAAATATATATATAAAATGTAAATTGAAAAAATGTATCAAAAAAAACATATAATATAATTAAAAGTATGTCTAGCGATTACGAACACGCTTTAGGTGATGAAATAATTTACTAACAGATTCATTATCACGGAATCTGCGTTGTCAGAAGTTGCGTGCAAACAACAATATCACGTATCATCTCTCTCTAACGATAAGCGAAATAAGACAACATTATCATTCATTTACTTTTCATTCATTTACTCGCGCATTTATCACATTTTCTCGTCGTAGCCTTATCGCACGAAACATCCCAAAATATCTACGATCAATCGCGATAAACTGGCAAGACCAGCTCACCTATTGTACTTTAGTGCAAATTGCACTCACGTCGAAAACTTTTTTGACAACCCACTTGACACATGCGCTTCTCGATAACGCACTCGAGAGCTTGATTGTTACTTGTTTCAATGTAATAAAGTACTGATAAATTACTGCTCGATCGATTGGTTCTTTTGTTCCGATTAATGTTTGATCGATGTTTTAGTAAAAAGTAGAATTAAGAATCAATATTTTATAATTTCTTGCGCTGATAAATTAATATTCAATCGTTCTTTTTTTTTAATTATTTTGTTTATATCTTTTCAATTTTATTTAAAAAAGAATTAATGTCTTTTTTCTCTTGCTAAAAAGAATAACAAAAAGAGTGAAGCAACTTCCTCGATATTATTTTAAGGTAATGAATTAGAGTACGCATAAAGTATGATGAATTAAATCGATGTTATTACAACAGGATAAATATTTTGAATTCTTCGCGCGCTGAATGCGCCGTAATAAATTAATAATCCAATAAATTGATTCTTTTCCTGTTCAATATCCAACCAATGTCGCAAAAAAAATTTCTAATTCTTTGCGTGCAAAACGTGTTTATGAATTCGATATCCAATCGATTAATTCTTTTTCTGTAATATATTTGATATCGTTTGATATCGGTATTATTTAAATAAAGATTAACGTGTTTCTCTCAACCCTTTTATCGAAAGGGTCGAAATAGTCTCGTGGATTATCTTTGAGTTTTTGGAATACGTTAAATATGATTTTAGTCAAAATAGCCGGCGCAGCTCTGAAAGGATCGAAAGCCGCGAGTCCACAAACGCGTGGAACTTCCGCATTCTTCGGTTTCATTGAATCCACTTTGTGGAATTGGGTAACTTTACATAGGTACTCACCGGAATAGTAGGAAGCCCAAGCCAGTAACCGCGGCTCGTCGAACGTCATCGTTAACATCAGAGACCTGTTAAAACAAAATAAAAATTATAATAATGAGCGAGAAAATGCATTCGCCTTTTCGCCTTTTTTTGAGACCGATATAAAATCATTCATCTTTACGTAAAAAAAAAAAAATCAGAAAGATTAAAATTTTTATCTATATAAATAAGTTCTTGCAAATTTTAATTTTTTATTCATTTATCTTTTAAAAATAATAATATGCGTAACATACATTTCACTTCTAAATCTTAAAAACGCGCTTGAATATTATTTAACGTTTATGTATGGAATAATAAAATAATCAAACTCACACGTTGGATATTAAAATCCCAATAAAATAAAACTAAGAAATAATAAAAGAAAGATAAAAAAAATATATAAAGAATAGAAGAATAAAATAAAAAATATCGGTCAAAATAACATCAATAAGAATACCGGTGTCTATGAAATATATGTTACATCAACACTCACCGCAACGTGCAGGAGCTTGCGAATGGCCTGGTTATTTCCGGTACCGCAGTAAGCCATCGCCAAGGTGTACATGCCGCTCCTGCGCAGGATCGGATCCTTATCAGCGCATAAGGATGTCACCAGGGGATCGGCCTCCTCGAGACGACCGTACATCGTGAAGGCGATGCCGACGGCCAGGCCGCGCAGGATCTTCTCGTGCTGCGTCTCTTGGGCGTACTGAGAGAAAGCAGAAAGCTCCGTAAAAGGATCTAAAATCGACGTGCGAAACGGGAATCCGTCCTTTTACACGGTAGAAGACGGTGATGTAATAATATATCTTAAATTTTCTCAATAGAGGTAACATCAGAGCGGTTACATGCATAAACATTGCAAATTATGCAGCGTGTTCGTATACTTTAAATATTAAATACGCAATTAAATTTTCGAATTAATAAACATGCGATAAAAATCCTTAAGCAAAAGGCGCTTCGTTTAAACGCGTCTATCCAATTATTCAAATTGAGATCTTGTACGTCGTTCTGTAAAAACCTCCGGATAAAAAACGACGATGCATGTAGTATAGTACACTATATAAATTGAGATTTTTTCAAGAGAAAAAAAAAACAACTTTTTTTCATCTCTGAATAAATCAGTCTTTCCCCGTAATTTCCAGAAAATTCGGTTTCGTCGAATTATGCACACCGTTCTTAACACACCGAGCGGTCCGTATTTATCTCTCGCGCTGATTTACAATTTAATGCGCGCCGGCCGCTTTTTGCAGGAGAGATCGAGATGTGCCCGTGCGTTACTTAATCGCAGCCGCCGGGACACATTATGGAGAACCCGTAATGGGTAATTAGATTAAGCCGACCGACTAGTGGCAAGTTATGATTCGTTTAGCATCGACCTGCTGCTGCTGCTGTTGCTGCTTGCAGCGATGGCCGGCAACAACAAAAGTTTATTCCAGCCTGATGTGCGCGAAATTGCTTTCCTTGAGGAAACATTGACACTAAAAAACACGACCGTTGTTTCCCCGGACATTCGAGGAGAAAAAAAAAATTGCGAATTAATGCGCGAAAGCATGCGAAAAAAGGTAAAAGAAATATATATATATGTATGTATGGTCTTCTTTCAGATACAATTGAAAACTGTATGTATAATTGAATGCTACAAAGACATTGTTTCTAAAAATAGCTTTTTACTCTCTCTCTCTCTCTTTTTTTATAACAATTTTTTACGGTAATACATTACAACAAAATTATATAAAAAAATATTTTCAACATATATGCGTAATATCGATACTAATATATGTAATAATAAAAAACCTTGAAAAGCGGGATTAAAACACTTGAAAAATTATTTATTATCAGATATATCAGATAAAAGCGGAGAATTCGTTTTTTTAATATACTATTATATAATATTATCAAGATTATCAACGTATAAGCTAACATTTAAGAAATAAAATAAATAAGTTCAACTGATAATCTTTCAGATAAACTGTATGTATAATTGAATGCTACAAAGACATTGTTTCTAAAAATAGCTTTTTACTCTCTCTCTCTCTCTCTCTCTCTCTCTCTCTCTCTCTTTTTTTATAACAAATTTTTACGGTAATACATTACAACAAAATTATATAAAAAAATATTTTCAACATATATGCGTAATATCGATACTAATATATGTAATAATAAAAAACCTTGAAAAGCGGGATTAAAACACTTGAAAAATTATTTATTATCAGATATATCAGATAAAAGCGGAGAATTCGTTTTTTTAATATACTATTATATAATATTATCAAGATTATCAACGTATAAGCTAACATTTAAGAAATAAAATAAATAAGTTCAACTGATAAAATGTCACGATCAATTAATCCCTTTCGAACTAACGCACGAATTAATAACACCTATTAATTGATATCAATAGCGGCTTATCGATCGTACTGTGTATCGATCACGGTGACGTCTACCCGTTGACAGACTATAAAAGAAAACCAAAACTCGATATCATCAAGAAGTTGCGTGAAATTATCGCGAAGATGGCTTCCCCGGCGATCGCGTTGTGTGCGTGAAACAAACATTGTTTCTTCATACCGCGATTACATATTTGTAGAGAAGGAAAAAATATTATTTTTTCAATTTGTATAAGCATATTCGTGAAAAAAATTATCCTTAAACATATTTCGTATTCGCGATGAAAAAGATTATCCTTAAATTCGCGATTGTATCTATAAAAAAAAAATTATTATTAGATTTTACATAAATCTGTATTTAATTCTATCTTGGAAAAACATTTTGAACCAGTTGAGGCGGCCTTTTTCTTGCAGTGTATCCTACCCTATTAGCGACCCTCGCCACGGATACAAATTACACGCTTTTCGCCGACGAACATGGAACGCCGTTCATGATCGATGTTACCGACCCTGTACCTACATCGTCGGAACTCATCGAAATCGAGGAAACCGCTCTCAAGACCTCCTTCTTATTATACACCCGGTAAATATAAATTCGTATATAATATATATTCGAAATATACTCTGGCGTGCAACAAAAATTACCATCTCTATATAAATACCAAATACTTTTCTTTAGAAACAATCCGCAAATCGGACAGGAGTTAATTATCAACGATAAGAATAGCGTGGACAATAGTTTTTGGAATCCTGATAATCCCACTTGTATCGTTACTCATGGATGGCGAGGAGATGCAAAGCCTGGATCCGCTTGTACCTTGATTCGAGATGGTAAAATCGGAATTAATCTTAATTGCTCGAGTGCTTGAATTTCTGCCTCTCTGAGATTCTTTAATATAATCATTATCTCTCTCTCTCTCTCTCTTTATTTTGTCTTTAAATATTCCTGAATTTGTAAACTCCTTAAATTTAATTTCTTTTAACTCTCTGAATCTTTAACATATATTTTTTATTCTCCTCCTTCTCTTTTTTATCTTTAATTTCTTAAGTCCTTGAATTCTTTCCTAACATTCTCAGATATAATTTAAATTTCTAAACTCTCCTGAATTCCATGAATTTTTTTAACATCCCGAATCTCGACGACTAATTTCTATTTCATTACCGTTCTCTGTTTAATATCCCAGCTTATCTCAGCATTGGCGATTACAACATCATCCTAGTTGACTGGAGTAAAGCGGCCGGAAATCTCTGGTACTGGAAAGTCGTGAAAAGCGTACCGCTCGTGGCGGGACATGTGACTAGGTTAATAAATTTCCTGGAGGAGAGTGCAGATCTGGATACTTCCAGAACCAGGCTAATAGGACATTCTTTGGGTGGACATATTGTCGGCCTCGCCGCTCGTAATGCCAATAACGATATCGCTGAAGTGATGGGTAAATCCATAAAGGAATTGTTGCGAAAAAAATATAACGAAGAGAATCAAAATTCAAACATAAATACTAATAATATAATAACTGATCTAGAGAATCTTCTCATATATATATAT